GTTCTTAATAGTTTTGAATTTATTTTCGTACTTTTTGTTTCACATTTGTTTTTCTTCACAAAGGTAATGCGGAAAAATAGGGGAGGGAGGGAGGCTTGAACTACAAACCGTCTCTGATAGTAAGAGTAGATAAGGGAAACAACAAAGGCAATCCACAAGGATTTACTTGAACCATGTGCCATCACACAGCGAAAGAAATGTATGTGAAATTAGAACTTGTGCACCATGTACTATTCACTCGTCACGACCTGCAAAACTGTGGACAAAATAAATACGACATCGACCTTCACGTTACAACTACAACAGCAACAAACCCTATTAATGAGAAGGTCCTCCCTCATCCCTTGCTCGTTGTTGCAGTGGGGCGATTTAGGAGGCGGAGACTGAGGCCCAGTGTAGGTTCACCCCTGCCTTGGACCTCCGCCCTCGCCTCAACTAATTTTTCAGGGTCTTTTTGCAGGGCCTTCTTTCTTCTTTCCTTTTCTTTCTCTTCTTCATTCCCTTCTTTTCTCCACTTACCTGAATCTTCACTCCTATTTACCCCTTTTCGCCACGATACGCTCCACAATGCTGCGTATTCTTTGATGTCTGGTACATTCGTTTTTTTTTTTACCTTTGACCATTCTGGAAATCCAAAGACATTGTCTTACTGAACCAGAAAGCTCTACCTGGGGCTTTGACCGTAGATGTTGACGCGGCAGAAAAAAAATCAAATAATAAAATAATGAACAGGTTTCATTGTTCTGCGTGGAAAAGAAAGAAAGAGAGAGAGAGAGAGAGAGAGAGAGTGTGTGTGTGTGTGTGTGTGTGTGTGTATGGATTAGTTTGTGTGTGTGAGCGAGCGTAAGTGAAATTGATCTCACAAAAAGAATGAATCACAAACACGAATCTTAACGTTCATTTAAACCAAATGTGATAAATTAGCAATGATGCTAATACAAAATTATTTCAACTACACTGAATTCAACATATGATAAATGATGGAATGTACGCATTAGCAACCGATGATATGAACGATTATTTGCCAGCTATTCGCAATACAAATCTTCCCAGCTCGTTACAAAATTCTGATATACCGAGGTAGCCATGTCTAGCTATGCTTAAAAGACTACGTAAGATTTCATATATTTACATACATATATATGTATCTGTATATATGTATACATATATATGTATATACATATATGTATGTATATATACAAATATATATGTATGTATACATGTATATGCATATATACACACATATATGTGTATATATATATATATACAAATATATATGTATGTATACATGTATATGCATATATACACACAGATATGTGTATATATATATATATATATATATATATATATATATATATATATATATATATATATATTTAACCCAATGGTGCCGGGGAAAATGAACAAAAAATGGGGAAAATATTGTGCCCACTTTCTATGTTTTTCGTGAAATGTCTGCCGATAGATGGCTCTGCTAGCGCCTGATTTAAATGGCGGGAAAAAACGTATTTTTCACTAGCGCTATGAAAATCGATGGTGTTATTTTTATCATAAATATTATAATTTTTATATATTTTTTTAACATGAGTAACAGCAAAATAAGATTACGTAAAATACTTCGTAAATCAAAGAAACGGGTAAACGGGCGAGACGGCCAGTGCTCGTAACTGGCTCATTGGGAGTTAGTACAAGTGTTGCCATCTATGCGTAAAAACAATCAAACAAGTACTCACGATGGGCATAGCACGTACGTACACGTCATACCCGGCACCAAGGGGATATATACAAATACATATATATACACATATATATATGTACACTTAAATATATATGTATATACATGTATGTATGTATATGTGTATATATACAAATATTTGTGCATATGTATATATGCATATACATATATATATATATATATATACATATATATACGTATATATATGTATATATATATATATATATATATATATATATATATATATATATATATATATATAAATATATGTATATATAAATATATACATATATGTATATATAAATATGCATATGTATATATATAAACATATACAAACATATATTTATATTTGTATATATACACATATATACATAAATATATACATACATATCTGTATATATACATATATATTTAGGTGTACATATATATATGTATATGTTTATATATATGTATGTATATATATATATATATATATATATATATATATATATATATATATGTGTGTGTGTGTGTGTGTGTGTGTGTGTGTGTGTGTGTGTGTGTGTGTGTGTGTGTGTGTGTGTGTGTATGCATATACATGTATATATACATATATATTTGTATATATGTATACGTATATACAGATTATATAATACATATACATATACATATACGTACACATACACCTATATATGTGCACACGCATTTAAGCAACAGAGCAAGACGAAGACATATTTAAGCACAGGCGCCAGTTTCTCTTGATAACCGCGCCCGACTCTCAGCTCC